TTGATATTACTTTTATAGAAAAGGCCTATGATAGCATCTAAGATCACAATTACAGATTTAAGAAAAGCACCTCACAGTAGAGTAGGGAGTGTTTCTTGGAGAACGTCTGTGCAAGCTCTGCGAGCCAAGGCTGCCCCGTGTGATGGACACATTGGATGACACAGAGCGGGGCTCCCTCCTGCAGGCCTTCCTAGGGCCTCATCCACATTATGTGCTTTGTGCATATTCAAGAGGGATATTTAAATGCAGCATTTTCCAAATTTATTTGAATATAGAACCTTAAACAATTACTACTTTTTTTTCTTTAAGAAACATCTCACAAGTAGTTGTCATGTTGGAAAACATCACTTTAGTACTTGAATTTTGGTTTTGTTCGCCTTCATTATTCATTTTAATAAATCAGTATTCTTGGTTTATTTTTCAGATGCCTGTAGTCTCTCTCTCTCTCTCTCTCTCTCTCTCTCTCTCTCTCTCTCTCTCTCCCTCTCTCTCCCCTCTCCCCCCCCCCCTTCTCTCCCTCTCTTCTGCTTTTCCTCCTCTGATATGCTTCAATTTACTAATTTGTTTGGTGGTTGAGACCCTCCCAAAGTCATCTAAATTGCACTGGGTTTCTTGGGTAAAACAGAGAATTATATATGATTAATGTAAAAATTTCAGGGGTGCATTGAATGGAAATTGAAGATTGAAGGTTCATTTGGTTCAACTTTTCCAAAGCTTTTAAAAGCTTTGCTGTTTGGAAGGAGGAATGAAATCAATTTAATGGGCAGCTAGTTGAGAAATTGTGAACTTATTGTAGAGAAGAGCATTGTGGTGGGTTGGAAAATAAGGATTCTACCTTTGTGTTCAACATTTACCAGCTAGTACTTCATTTTGTACAGGCCACTTAGTCTTCCTCTGCTTCAGTTTTGTCATTTGTAGAATTCAGGGATGGATTTAGATTCATCCATTTTAATAGGCAGAGTTACTATTAATATACTTAATCAAGTCAGTGATGATTGTGGGCCTACATAGAATATTTTGTTCTACTCTGCAAGTTTCTACATGTGACTATAACCTTGTGTCTCAGTTAAGCTCTTTTGGAGAATGAAATTATTCAATAATCAGCTCATCGTCAACTCCATGTATTTGAAAACTCTCGATGAGTTGTTTGAGACTTATGCCTTCATTGATTGATTTGTTAATTACCCTATAGGAAAGCACAGGTCAATTAATGCAGCGCTATGGATAAATGCACACCTCCTACGTTTGTTTTACTGACAGAGGGAGAAATCCATGATGTGAATATTAATTATCATCACCCCTCCCTCCCCACCCCTTTGTTCATTTGGTGCCTTTTGCACACTCCCTGCTTATTAGCTGATTTCTGAACTCAGCACAGTAGAGGTCTAAATTCAGTGAATTCATGCCATCTGTAAATGAGCTTTCAATTCTGTTCCTCTGTTGAAATTAGGGATGTGACATAGTTATTACATGGAAGGATTGTTAGCATGGATAGGATTTGATTATGTGGAGGTAGAATGTCGTGTTAGAAGGAAAGCACTTGCCTGGGGACAGATTTGAGTGTGACTGAATCGCTAGCTGCCAACTTTCCTCTTTTTAACAGGAGACATATTTTGTTTTTAAATGAGATGACAACCAAGTGAATTATCAAGACCTAGTGAATTTTTAGAGTCCCTTTCATTTACTTGAGTTCCGTTTAACCTTGCTTTCGATGTCATTCTGTGCATTACTGTCAAAGGACACGGCTTCCTTTGAAGTTGCTGGCGGAATCATGATGGTAAAATATAAGAGGGGTTCCCAGTAAAGCTCTTAGCGATACACAGTGATGCCTTATTACCCAAGTAAAAGGCTACGTGTGGGGGTGCTTAAAAAATGTAGTGTGTAAAGGGAGGATAAATGATAATGAACAGTAAAATGGGAGAAGCATTTCTCATGAATTAGAGATGCCCTTTCATAATTCAAGAGTCACCGAACGAGGAAAGGCTTGAAATAGCCTGAAAAGCATCTGGGAGCAATCTGTAATCCTTACGAGGCAGTGGAAGAGCCTGTGTCACTCGAGTACATGGCGCTAAAACTGCTCATGTGGGATTATGGAGGAAGGAGGATTCTGTGACTTGTAAAACCTCTTGCAATGAAATGCCCAGAGTTTTGAATATGAATTATACTGCAAGGTCCCAGGTGCTTAAATAAATGATTAATTGGCAGCGGTTCTCAACCTGTGGGTCGCGACCCCTTTGGGGGTCGAACGGCCCTTTCACAGGGGTCGCCTAAGACCATCGGAAAACACATATATAATTACATATTGTTTTTGTGATTAATCACTATGCTTTAATTGTGTTCAATTTGTAACAATGAAATTGGGGGTCACCACAACATGAGGAACTGTATTAAAGGGTCGCGGCATTAGGAAGGTTGAGAACCACTGGATTAGAGTGGAGGAGGCAGATTTAAAGGTTCTGAGGAAATTTTAATTTTGTTTATTTGCATGTGGAATGTTATCTTTTAGTCTTCATGTTCATTTTTTCAATTACAGTTGACAGTATTATTTTGTATTAGTTTCAGGGGTAGAGCATAAAGGTTAGGCATATAATCTAGGAAGTGACCCCCCAGTAACTCTAGTACGCATCTGGCACCACACATGTTATCCTTTACATTTCATGCCCCATATTCACTCTTCTTATGCCTGGTCACTACCACCTCTGTGCCTAGTTTTGAAGATTTAGGTCACTCTAAGGACCCCCTCACCCCATTTTTTCCTTTCATGGAACATTTGTTATAAGAAAAGGCATTCCATTCCAAGCCTTGAAGGCAAGTGTAGATAAAAAATACACACATTCAGAACCTCTTCTAGTAACTTTTTAGGAAGCCATCTTTTAATACATTGGACTGTTGCAGAAAAATTATTACAGTAATGAAAGGCTCATCCTTTAGGGTTTGGGAAACCCTTAAACAGATTTCGAAAAGACTTATTTGTTGTACTAGACTCTGGCTTGAATTGCTCACCTCAACCCATCTAAAGAGGCGGAAATATTTTACGTAATATGACTACATCAGAACAAGTTGCATCTTGTTTCTTGCTTTTGTGTAAGTAATTATGATTATGTGTAATCACAACATTGTACCCTTTTTCTTTTTTATATGCTAAGTGGCATTTCCCCATTTTATTATAAACACAAAATTTTTTGATGGCTGACAAAATTGTGGTTAAGTAAATTATATAATTGAATCAAATTTACTTACCCCCCCCCCATTATTGGACAAATAAATGGTTTCCATGTTTTATTAAGTGTAGTATTGTTTGTTTTTAAGTTTTTCTTGGAAATTTTCTCTAGCTTTTGCCGATTTTGACATTGAATAATGGTTTTGTTTAGCATTTGCATTAGCTTCTGCCTTTTATATCGCCAAGTGTTTGGGGTTGGTCTTTTTGTTATGCTGCCCTGGGTGCCTCTAGGTGTTCTCTGTATTTCTCTCAGGTAGGATAATTTCCCCACCTTCTTTAAAATCATGTTCTTCCGGTTGTACAATAGGGAGTATTTGTGCAAGCCATGAATTTATGCTGTGAAAGTTATCTTCCCAGTCATCCTGATGATATGAGATGTGTATCTAGAACCAAAGTAAACTTTGCCCATGGGATGGCAAAAAAACTGACCTTTGAACTGTCAATGACTAGGTAAGTCAAAGGTACTGTTACCTGAGAATTAAATTCCCGGGTCACTCGTGAGAATGAGGTGGAGGTTCTTGTGGTGCCGCTGAAATAAGCATTTTCAGGAGCCCCCATGGGAGGATGAGATGTGGAAGATTTTATTGGAGTGGAGTTACATTCCTCAGTTTCCAATGTCCCATCTCCCCCAAGCCAGTCCTGAAAGGGGGGCAGCTGGAGTCCAGCAGTGCCAGAGGAGGGACAGTGTCCAGAGTTTCTGTTCCATGTTGCAGCCGGTGTAGTTCAGTATCCGAGCTAAATAAAGTCCATTAGTCCACGTGTGGCGCACATGGCCCTGAGCCATGCTGGTGCCTGGGAGCGTGCCCCTGCAGCAGGAGTCACAGGAGCCAGGCTCCCTGGAGCCAAGAGAGGAGAGAGGACTTCCTTTGTTTGGAAGTTTATATATTTAGATTTTGCGCCCTTGCAGTGGCCACTCCCATCTTGGCCACTGACTCGCTTTCAGGTGTGATTTATGGGAAAGCACCTTCCCATCATCTCACTTAGACCTTACTGGGCATGTGTCTAAACTGCCTTTGTCTACCAGTGGTTCTCAACCTTCCTAATGCTGCGACCCTTTAATATAGTTCCTCATGTTGTGGTGACCCCCAACCATAAAATTATTTTCGTTGCTACTTCATAACTGTAATTTTGCTACTGTTATGAATCGTAATGTAAATATCTAATATGCAGGATGCATTTTCATTGTTCGCGACCCACAGGTTGAGAACCGCTGGATCAGTCAGCAGGGAAAGACTCAGAGTGAATAAATGGCATGCCTGTATTATTTGGCCTTCCTTTCCACTCCTTGTCTGTTAAATAACAACCAGGTTATTACAATGGACGGCATCAGTTCCTGGGAATATTTTGGGAGTATTGCATATTTTGGAAAAATTGTTTATGAAAGTTATTTATGGTCCTCTCGTTGCTATTTTTTATTTTGTTGTCATTAACTAACATGATGCTATTGATGCATGGATATGAATTTATTTAGTTTCACTTTTTTTCCCTCTTGTAAAAGAAGCATATAATTACTTAACTTCTTTTAGGGGATGGAAGAATCCTCCTCTCTACTCTCTATTACCCAATGAGAGTCTCTCATTTTTGGCTGGCATTCAGATTTCTAAATAAAGATTTAGTTTTTGCTTATTTTTTAAATGATAAAGTAAACACCATCTGAGAAGAGCCCACTCAGTGCACAACAAATGGTGGAAAATGGGAGGAGGAAAAAACTAGAAAAACTTAGATTGGATTTTTATAGTTTATTTGTGATTGTAGAACATTTTTTATTTTATTTCTATAGATTTTGAAAGTCTCCTGGAGTTTCCAGCAGTGCCAAGTGTTGGAGAAATTTTTTTCTGTCCCTCTGATAGTGAAGTGATCAAAAACAACCCCGCAGGAGGCGAGTGAAGAGTGGTCACAGGTAATGTCTTCTCTTTTTAATACTATTGGTATGTGTTCAGTAATATACGTAAAAAAGCCCAGTTGAACTTACATATCCAAGTGAGCATTATCTTTTTGAGAGGCCATTCTCTATCTTCTACTCAAAACATTAAATATTTTCTCTGCATCTTGATTCTCTGTTACCTTTCTTTAAAGCATCCTGTTTTCTGTGGTGGCAAATCTCAACTCTGTGATGGCGTATTTGAAAAGTAGTAAGAACATTAGAACTGGATGAATCAGGGGAGCTCTAATTTTAATAAAAAAAAAAAAAACAGAAGGAGCCCTGGCCGATTTTGCTCAGTGGTTAGAGTATCGGCCCGAGGAATGAAGGGTTGTGCTTTCAATTCCCAATCAAGGGCATGTACCTCGGTAACAGTTTGATCCCCAGCCTTGGTGGGGTGAGTACAGGGTGAGAGGGAGCAACCAATGGATGTGTCTCTGACACTGATGTTTCTCTCTCTCTCCCTATCCTTCCTCCCACTCTCTCTAAAAAAAAATTCAATGGAAAAATATCCTCAAGTAAGGATTAAAAAAACAACACACACACACACACACACACACAGAAGGAGCAATAATGTAACAAAACCAGTTTTTCTTTTTGTAATTTTTATATGTACTAGTATTTGAAGGCTCATGTTCCGTATTGAAAAAGTTAATTCTAAGAAGGGGTGACTCTAAGTTTTAAACAATGATATTGTTAAAATAAGAGGTTAGGCTTCATATCTTATAGAGAAGCATATATTATTTATTTGACTATATAAATCTCGGTATTCTTTCTTTTAAAATTTAAATTCTTTATTGTTTAAAGTATTACATAAGTCTCCTTTTTCCCCCATTGACCTCTCCCCAGCCGCTACCATTCCCCAGCATATGCCCTCACCCCCGCTACTGTCTGTGTCCATTGGTTATGCTCATATGCATGCATACAAGTCCTTTGGTTGATCTCTTGCCACCCATCCCCCCATCCCCACCCTCCCCTGCCTTCCCTCTGAGGTTTGACGGTCTGATTGATGCTTCTAGGTCTCTGGCTCTATTTTTGTTCATCAGTTTATGTTGTTCATTATATTTCACAAATGAGTGCCATCATGTGATATTTATCTTTCTCTGACTGGCTTATTTCGCTTAGCATAATGCTCTCTAGGTCCATCCATGCTGTTGCAAATGGTAAGAGTCCCTTCTTTTTTATAGCAGTACTAGAGGCCCGGTGCCCAAAAATTTGTGCACTCAGGGGGGAGGGGGGGGTACCTCAGCCCAGCCTGTGCCCTCTCGCAGTCTGGGACCCCTTGGGAGATAACGACCTGCTGGCTTAGGCCTGCTCCCGGGTGGCAGAGGGCAGGCCCAATCCCTAGGTGCAGCCCCTGGTCGGGCTCAGAGCAGGGCCGATTGGGGAGTTGGGGCGCCGCCCCCTGTCAAGCACAGAGCAGGGCGGATTGGGAGGTTGCGATGCCACCCTCAGTCACGCTCAGGGTAGGGCCGATTGGGGGGTTGGGGCACCGCCCCCTGTCACACTCAAGGCAGGGTCGATGGGGAGGTTGTGGCGCCACCCCCTGTCAAGCACAGAGCAGGGACAATCAGGGGGTTGGGGAGCTCCCCCCTGTCACTCACAGAGCAGGGCCCATCAGGGGGTTGGGGAGCTCCCCCCGTCACACACAGAGCAGGGCCCATCGGGGGTTGAGGAGCTCCCCCCTGTCACTCACAGAGTAGGGCCAATAGGGGAGTTGGCGCACCGCCCCCTTCCACACACAGAGCAGGGCGGATCAGGGGGTTGGGGCCCCGCCCTCTATCACCCACAGTGCAGGGCTGATCAGGGGGTTGGGGCGCCGCCACTGTCACACTCAGGGCAGGGCCGATTGGGAGGTTATGGCTCTACCCAATCACACACAAAGCAGGGCCTGTGGTGGTGGTGGTGGGGGTGTTGGGGCGCCGCCCTCTATCACCCACAGAGCAGGGCCGATCAGGGGGTTGGGGCGCCGCCACTGTCACACTCAGGGCAGGGCCGATGGGGAGGTTATGGCTCTACCCCGTCACACACAGAGCAGGGCCCGTGGGGTGGGGGGGTTGGGGCGCCACACCCTGTCACACACAGAGCTGCAGGGTGATCAGGGGGTTGGGGAGCTCCCCCGTATCAGGCACAGAGCAGGCCGATCAGGGGGTGGGGCACCTTCCCCTGTCACGAACAGAGCAGGGCCGATAGGGAGGTTGTGGCCCCACCCCCTGTCACACACAGAGCCGCAGAGCGATCAGGGGGTTTGGGCTCTGCCCCCTGTCATGCTGATCCTGGTGCTGGGAGGCCTCTCAGCTCTGCTGATCCCGGTGCTGGGAGGCATATTACCCTTTTACTATATAGAATAGAGGCCTGGTACACGGGTGGGGGCTGGCTGGTTTGCCCTGAAGGGTGTCCCGGATCAGGGTGGGGGCCGCCAGTGGGGTGCCTGGCCAGCCTGGATGAGGGGATGATGGCTGTTTGTAGCTGGTCACACACCCTTCAGGGTGGGGGTCCCCACTGGGGTGCCTGGCCAGTCTGGGTGAGGGGCTGAGGGCTGTTTTCAGGCTGGGACTGAAGCTCCCAACTGCTCCTTTTTTTCTTTTTTTTTTTTTTTTCATTCTGGGCCAGCTTTAGCTCTGAGGCTTGGCTCCAGCTCTGAGGCCTCAGCTGCTGAAAACAGGTATCTGGTTTGTTTCAGTTCTATAATCGAAACTCTGTATCAACTCCAGCTCTGAGATACCAGCTCTCTGAAAGCTGGTTTCTGGGGTTTTGTTTAGCTTCTATATTTGTTACAGTGTTTTTTAAACTGCAAGCTCAGAGGCTGGCAAGGCAGGTGGGGAACATTGCAGTCCTCCGTCACTGAAGCAAGCAAGCCTCATGTTCAGTTTAAGCTGCCTGGCTGCCGGCCACCATCTTGGCTGGCAGTTAATTTGCATATCGTCCTGATTAGCCAATGGGAAGGGTAGCGGTTGTACACCAATTACCATGTTTCTCTTTTATTATATAGGGTAGTATTCCATTGTGTAGATATACCACAGTTTTTTAATCCACTCATCTGCTGATGGGAACTTAGGCTGTTTCCAAATCTTAGCTATTGTAAATTCTGCTGCTATGAACATAGGGGTGCATATATCATTTCTGATTGGTATTTCTTAAATCTTGGTATTCTTATTGAAATCAGTCAGTCAGTATTGTAGAAAGAGTTCTTACATTAATCAGGTTATATAGAATGAGATCTGAATTTCCTTATAAGGTATACCTCTAAGACTTTGTAATTCATATCTTACTGGTGGTGTGTTTTGCATTTTCCCCCTCAAAGTGTTATTAGAGTGTTGTTAAAAATGCACGTTAAAAATTCAAATGACTAGGCCCCAATCTTGTGTGTCAGCATCAGGAACAGAATGGTAGGAGGCAGGTTTTAGGAATTTGCCTCTTACAGGTATCACCAAAGACTGACATTCTTTACCTCTAATTAATCTTTGTATTTTTTATTCAGTGATTTCCTTGATTTTTGCTTTGACTATAACACCACCAATAATCTTAGTTTACTGTTTTGACACAGGGTTATGTTCTCAAGTAGCTCATTATTAGATCAAATGAAGAATGTAATTGAATATAACTGTATTTGAACTTTAAGTCTAAATTAAAAATGTATATTTTTTTTCTTGGATGTAAATGGATAAATCTGTATTTGAGATCCAGATGCCAAATACTAAATTTTATGAAACATCTCTTCAAATTTGCTAATTTGTACTTCAGGTTTATTACTCATATTGAGGCTAAAGAGTAAGAGGGTAGGTAAGCATTGGAAGCACCTGGGATCTGTGCCACACTGCACTTAGCATCCAGTCCAGCATTTTTCAGGAAACATGTGATGAGGGTTTTGCTGGGCAATTTATGGTCCAAACAGAGGAAATCCTTTCTTTCTAGTGCCCTGAGGTTTGTGAAGCTCTCTGAAACTTTCAAGGGGAGTATTAACATGAAATGAAACAGGCTTTGCTATGAAGTTATTTTCATTACTATGTACATTCTTTAGTAATCATTCTTATAAATTTATTAATTTTACAAAATGTAAGCATTATGTATAAAGTTCACTATTTTATAGATATTTTCAATCCTACAAATTATACCTTTACTTTAATATTTATAATATTATTAGGGGCTTGGTGCACAAAATTTGTGCACAGAGGGTGGGGTGTCCCTCAGCCCGGACCTGCACCCTCTCCAATCCAGGACCCCTCGGGGGATGTCCGACTGCCCTCTTGCAATTCGGGACTGCTGGCTCCTAACTGCTCGCTGCCTGCCTGCCTGATCACCCCTAACCACCTCTGCCTCCTGGCCTGATGCCCCTAACTGCTCACCTGCCTGCCAGTTTGCCCCTAATTGCTCCCCTGCCTTCCGGCCTGATTGCCCCCTAACTGCCCTCCCCTTCCAGCCTGATCGCCCCCTAACTGCCCTCACCTGCCAGCCTGATCACCCCTGACTGCCCTTCCCTGCTAGCCTGATCTCCCCTAACCGCCTCTGCCTCGGCCCCCACCACCATGGCTTTGTCTGGAAGGATGTCTGGAAGATGTCCAGTCTAATTAGCATATTACTCTTTTATTAGTATAGATAGCATTCTGGGCATGTTCATATTGAGAGTTAATAATATACTTTATGTAAAATAAAAATGTGGCAATAGATTTAAAAGTTAAGTCTATTACTTCAGATGCTTGTTTCTTTATCATAACACAAAATTTACCATTTTAACCATGTTAAGTATATAGTTTAGTATTAAGTATGTTTAGATTTTTGTGCAACTGGCCTCCAGGATGCTTTCATCTTGCAAAACTGAATCTTTACATACATGATAAAAACTTCTCCTTTACTCCTCCCCCAGCCCCTGGCAACCACTTGTTCTATTTTCTGTCTCTATGAATTTAACTATTCTAGATATCCCATATAAGTAGAATCATACAGTATTTGTCTTTCAAAAAAGATTTTAAAATTAATTT